TATTATCTATAGTAACACTGAACATAAAAATAATCAATGTTGTTAATCTCTGGATCAACATCTTTACTTTTTTGTGTGGGCAGATTGTCAGATGGACATTGCGATGGTGATTGACAGCAGCAGCAATATTGGGCAGCGGAGGTTTAACCTGCAGAAGAACTTTATTGCCAAACTGGCGGCTATGCTAAGAGTCGGACCAATAGGACCTCATATTGGTTTAATACAGGCCAGGTCGGGCACACCACACAGAGTCACTTCAGAAAAATCTTTATTTCTTTCTTTTTACCTCAGCCTTAAACCACCCAACAATGTCATTTATACTAACAAGTCTTGAGAATTGTGGTATTTTGGGATAGTGGTGAGTAAATAAATGTAAAAAAATAAAGGCAGCTTGTTAGGCATTAGTCCAAATAAAAATGGAAAAGAGGACATTTCGTTCATAGATGTTCTGTTGACAAATCTGCAACAACTGATGATCAATTGTATCATTTCAGTATTGATCAAACTCTGTGAGGAAAACGTCCATCACTCACAGCTTCAACAATCTATTGAAGACTGCTGAATCTGTGTCACAATGAGCTTAGACAATTTTGAAAGGAAATCGCGTATTTAATAGAGTATCCAATGGTGTGTTATACTATGCCACATAAAAATCCTTTTACTTCCCTTATGAGTGAACTCAGGTTTATGCTTTTTAAAGTTTAGATTACAGTTAAGGGCTAGATAAGAATTATTACATCAAAAATGCAGATATATACATATACACTAAACATTTGTCTTCATATGTGCCTGCAGTGACTCTCCCAGGACAGAGTTCCTACTGACTAACTACACTCAACCTAAAGAGCTGTTGTTTGCTATTAAGGAGCTGGCCTACCTAGGAGGAGACTCCAATACAGGTAACACACACTTACACATATCTTGATTAACCTGAATTATGAATTGAAAAGTTAAAAAAAATACACATCCTGTAGCCCCTAGCTCTTTGAAAAGGTGACAATCAGACAAAATTTCCTCATTTATGATCAAATGAGGTGAAAAGAGTAAGTACATGTGATGGTTCAGTAGGCTGTAGGATCACCTTTAACAGCATTAATGTCTGTATGACATCAGTCTCCCACATTTTGTGGAGGAAATCTAACCCACTACCTGACAAAGTTCAATTCAATCTTATTTATATAGTGCAAAATCACAACAACAGCTGCCTCAAGGTGCTTTATATTGTAAGGTAGACCCTACAATAATCCAAACTGGTCATCATATCACTACCCCTCTCTCACTACCATCCCTATCACGCTTGCTGCTATCCTTCTGTCAGTAGTTGCCACTGACACTCTTCCCCACCCTGCCTGCATTCTTTTCATCAGTTAAAAAAAAAAAAAAAAAACAGGTGATCCAGGTGTTTTGTTTTTTTCTTTCTTTCTCTCCCTCTCTTTCTTTCATTCTTTCTCCCTGTCCTCTCCCCCAGTCATGTCTGTCCCGTTTGTAGCAACCGAAAATAAAATAAATACATAATTATAATAAAGGTCAATCAAATGGACCAATATGGCAAGGCCATGATGATCCACTTGGTAAAATAAATCCGCTTGGCATCTTTCTTGGCCTTAAGACAACAATTCTGATGGCTAAAGATCCAAACGGGACAAAAAAAAAAAAAAAACAGGTAATGTAAAAATATTTATCGTGTTGTTGGTCTTCCTAGGTAAAGCCATCATGCATACAGCAGAGACCTTTTTCTCTCAGGAGAATGGAGGGAGAAGGGGTCACCCCCGGGTGATGATGGTGTTAATTGATGGCTGGCCATCTGATGACCTGGACCAGGCGGCCATGTTGGCCAGAGAGAGTGGGATCAATGTCTTTCTGGTGTCTGTCGCCAAACCAGCACCTGAGGAGCTCAGCATGGTTCGAGACAAAGACTTCATGAAGAAGGTTCACATGTTATTTGAATTGTTAGATAAATGTTCATATGTTTCATTAATAAGGAGTGACATTCTAACATGAAATATACTTTAGACTGAATTGTCCCTTCTTGTTTAGTTTAAACTTAAAATGGATACATTATGCTGCTCCTTTTTTTCTTTCATATAAAAACAGTGATGCATGTACATATTAAAAATAGCCAAAATTTAAGATAATGAGGTCAGTAAATGTGCAGAAGATGCTTGTTATCAAAAGAGGATATATTTAATATGGACATCTCAGACACAAAGATGTAAGCACAGAAGCCTCACCCATCTGCTGTTCAAAACTTCTGTTTGCAAAAGTCCAGTAAGACTTTGTATCAAGGCCAGGGAAAGGAAGTTAAAATGCTGTGTTTTAGACAGGAAATGTGCCCTGGTTTAAGATAAATAAGGATTATTTTAAACAGTGACCATTGCAAAGTTACTTTAATAGTGTCCACGGTTGCAGAGTTGGATTTTTAGTTCCCTTTAAACAACACAAAATCGCATATAAACCTTGTGTAATGTTGACCCTAAACAAACAGCAGTTTTCAGACAAAGAATTCAACTCTGCTTGAACATGTTGGTTTCAGTATTGTGTCTATGACTCCAGAAAACAAAAAGGACCTGATACAGGTCCTAGACGTCTGAAACAGAACTGCCTAAGCTGAAAATTTTCCAAAAAGCACAATCTGTCCATCCATGCTCAGCTGGACAACAAAAAAACAACAACAACAAAAATGTAGCATATGCATGCGGTTATTGAGAGTGGTTATGTGCAGCATAAAAGTAGAAACTTGAATTATTATTTTAGTCAAACCCAAGAGGCATTCATCAAATCACAGTGAACATGTTTTGTATTAATGACAGAATTTCTACCTGTCCTCCTGCAGGCTGTGTGTAAAGACAACGGTTTCTTCAGTTATCCAATCCCCAGCTGGTTCAGCACCACCAAACACATCAGACCTCTCATTCAGAGACTCTGTTCACTAGACGGCCTGCTCTGTAGTAAGACACACCTTCATCAACTACTGTAATGCTGCTGTCAGGAGATACCTTTGAAAACACACAGGTCGTGGCCATCACATTACATTTGATAATCAAATATTAAGGTATTAACAGTTGTACCTTTGCATAAAACAATACCAATAATTCTTTAATTTTGTAATATCAGATTTGACCAAGAAAAATGAAATAATATTGTTTTCTGCTTGGAAAAAAAGTTTTGAAAGAATTGCTACACTATCAAATATCTTTTGGACGTGCAACAATCACATGAAAATACTTTCAGTCTCTTCAGCATCATCTCTTTACAGCTGTGGTTTCACCATTAACAGTATAGCTTTTTAAGTCATTTTGTTTATTACAGAAACAAAATTAATTAATTCATAATATTTACACTTGATTATTTAGATGGATGTGGCTCTGCTGTGACATTGACATAAAATGTGTTTTTTAGGTAAAACCTGTTACAATTCTGTGAACATCGGCTTTCTCATCGATGGTTCATCTAGCGTTGGGGATGGAAATTTCCAACTTGTCCTGGAATTCCTAGCAGGAATTGCAAGAAGCTTTGAAATCTCAGATGTGGGAGCTCACATTGGTCAGCTTCACAACATGCAAACCACTGACTATCTTATACGTTATTAATGCTGGTTGGCTGACTGGCTGTATTGGTGTTGTAGGTGCAGTGCAGTTCACCTATGACCAGAGGTTAGAGTTTGGCCTGTCTGACTACTCAAACAAGGACGATGCCATCAATGCTCTGAGAAGGATCTCTTACATGAGTGGAGGAACATCGACCGGTTCAGCCATAAGCTACACCACTCAGAACCTGTTCAGGTA